AAGTGCAGCCAGAGTGCTCCCTGGAGGCCAAGATGGCCAAACTTCATCTCTCATACTTTAGACATATTGTCAGGAGGGGCCAGTTGCTGGAGAAGGTTATCATATTTGGTATGGTGGAGGGTCAGAGAAAAAGAGGAAGACCCCCAGCGAGATGGATTGGGAAAGTGGCAGTATCAATGGACTCAAGTGTGGCAACGATAGTGAGGTTGGTCCAGGATCGGGCAGTGTTTCGTTCTGCTGTGCATAAGGTCGCTATGGGTCGGGACCAACTCGATCACACCTAACAATAGCAATGGCTGCTTTTGCACAACCTGGCAGAGTTGAGCAGCTGCAACAGAGACTATTTGGCCCACATAGTCACAAATAGTTGCTCTAATCCTTTCTAGAATCATGGAAGCAGCCATCAAGAAATCAAATGACGTATTGCATTGTGCACATTTGCTGCAAAAGATCTTTTTAAAGTGTTAATGAGCGAAGATGTCACTCTGAGAACTAAGGTGCACCTGACCCAAGCCATGGTATTTTCAATCACTTTATATGCATTCGAAAGCTGGATAATGAGTAAGTAAGCCCAGAGAATAACTAATGGATGCATTTGGATTATAGCATTGGTGAAGAATAATGAATATACCAGGGACTATCAGAAGCAGCTCTGGTAGCGTAGTGGTTACGAATTGGGCTGCGAACCTCAGGGTCAGCAGTTCGAAACTGCCAGCTGTTCCGTGGGAGAAAGATGAGGCTTTCTGCTCCCGTAAAGATTTACAGCCTCGGAAACCCTATACAGGGTGGCTATGAGTCGGAACCAACCCCACAGCACATCACCCCCATTCCCACCAGAAGAATGGAGTCCTGGTGTGGCACTGTAGAATGAGCTCAGGACTGCAAGGTCAGTTTGATCCACAAGGTTGGTGGTTCAAACTCACCAGCTGCTTCTTGACAACTTTATACTGACTCGCTATGAGTCAGAACCAACTCGATGGCAATTAACAAGAAGAGTGAACAAGTCTGTCTTGGAAGAAGTAAAGCCAGAATGCTCCTTAGAAGTGAGAACAGTGAGACTTCATCTCATGGGTTTTAGACACGGTATCAGAAGGGACCAGTCCTTGGAGAAGGAATCATGCTTGGTGAAAGGTCAGAGGAAAAGAGGAAGACCCTCAATAAAACGGATTAACACAGTGGCTGTAACAATGGGCTCAAACAATCGTGAGGCTGGCACAGGACTGGGTACCTTGGCATTTCATTCTACAATGAAATGGCTTTTTTTTCTTTTCTTGGTCACATTTTGGGGTTGGTGAGAAGATCCACTGGACTTTGAAAGAAAATAGAAATTGTGAGGGTCATTGGGACCTGTGGGCTGAGGGCTGACTAGCCTATTTGCTCCCCTGAAGAGGCTACAAATGGGTTGATGGGACTACAGGGGGAAACACTGAGTTCAAGAAGAGGTTGGAAAAGACAGTGAGTGACTCCACCCACAGGAGAAAGAACAGACATGTCGGGAAATGGTTCCCAATCGGCCCAGTGGCTCAGTGATGATTTTTCACCCTCACTGACCACTGGGACCAATGCTGTACCTGCCTAGGGTGGGAGTGGGGGCAAGGCTGATCCTGTATCAAGTAGGTGGAGGCCAGGAAACGTGCTCAGCATCCTACAGTGCACAGAACAGCCCCAAAGCAAAGGAAGGTGCTCAAGGTGTCAAAAGAGCTCCAGAGTCAAGAAACCTTAACCCAGGAGGAAAGTATCTCAGAACTTTTGACCTTGAGGGAAATCCATTAAACTTTGAACCCCTGAGACCTAGTGAGATGCACACAAGGGTCCGCACATGCATCTTAGCCCTGCTGATATAGGGATTTTGTCCTCAAAGCCACCCCAGAGGGTAAACCTTATTTGGAATCCCTGGGTGGTATAAATCCCTAGGTGATACTCTTCTTCCTAAGTCACTCAACTGATAACTGAAAGTTTGACGGTCTAAGCCCACCCAGAGATGCCTCGAAAGAAAGACCTGGTGATCTCCTTCCAAAAAATCAGCCACTGAAATCACTGTGGAGCACAATTCTACTCGGACACAGAGTTGTGTGTAAACTGTTGTGTAGCCACTGTGTACAAAATGTACATGAACTGTTCAATGGAATTTGCTTGGTAAACTCTCACCTAAACCACACATTTTGTTTTTGTTTTTATAAAGAAGAAAAATAGGAAAACCTATGAAGCACAGTTCTACTGACACCAGTGGGTTGCCATGAGTTAGAATAAACTCAATGTCAACAGGGGGCAAAAAGAGAAGAAGCCAAAGAGTGAGAGCCAGAACTCAACAGGACCACCTTGTCTCGAAAGTTGTCTGTCTCTAACAAAGTGCAGTCTTACCACTTCTATCGTTTGTTGTTAGGTGCCGTCGAGTAGGTTCTGACTCACAGCAACAACAGAACGAACTACCACCTGATCCTACGCCTTCCTCACAATCGTTGCCATGCTCGAGTCCATTGCTGCTGCCACGGTGACAATCCATCTCATTGGGGGTCTTTCTCTCTTTAGCCGACTCTCCATTTAAGCAAGGATGATGTCCTTCCTCACAGACTTGATCCTCCTGACAATATGTCCTACCTTCTATTCATGGAAAACATCTGAATTTTCCTTTTCTGAGGTTTCTGCTTTTGCAGGTTTTACTGTATGAAGATTTTTCCTCTTGGCAATGAAATTCTTGGGGTAGTGGCCGAGGACAAACATCCCAGAAGGGGATGAAGTGCAAGCACAAAGTCTTCCTAGACAGGTCAGCAGAAGGCAGGAGGCAGACAGTGGTTCCAGAGGACCCCTAAATACCTCCTCTTTCTGGGAGTAGAGTGGGATGAGGTAATTAAGAAGGACCTCTCACAGACTCACCCACACACAGCCGGCCTGAGGAGTCCAGCGTCAGGCCCTGGGGACAGTGGCAACGGAAGGAACCAGCAGAGTTGAGGCAGTGACCATTGGGACAGACACCTGGGAAGACTTCACACTCGTTCACATCTGGTGGGGGGTGGCAAGTAAGTGGGAAAGAGGAGGGCTGAGGTGCCCACCCAGGAATCGGAGTGTGCTGGCTCCTCCCCCCAGGAGGGGTTCAGGAAACCCTAATTGTCTTTGGGGGAGAAGGAAGGGACAAGGACAGCCTCAGAGGCTGGGAATGGGGCTGGGGAGCTCTCAGGTACCCTAGTGGGTAATCTCAGTCTCCATCCCGTTCACCCAGGACATGCACCTGCCTATGTGGGGTGCAGGTGCAAGCTGGAGGGGAGCAGGGTGTTACCTGCACAGGTGAGCCCCTCTGTCCGTGCAAAGCCCCGGGCACAGGTAGGGTCTGTATGGAGAAGATGCCAATGTGATGGGTGACTCTCCACCCAGGTCCAGGGACTTCGTCTGCCCCCACCCAGCCCCACTGTTGTGATCAGAGTGCAGGCAGGTCGTGGTCAGGCCCCAGGGGCTCCCAGGGGATACCGATCTCGCAGTGCTCGCAGGGGCTGCCCCAGGCGACCCCCAGGGTGGCACAGCACTCAGCCCGAAGGGTGGCTCCATGGAGGTTGGCCTCACAGCGGCTCTCCCACATCTGCAGCCAGCAGGTACCCTTGGTGCTGTCTGGGGAGGTAGGAGACACCTGGTTCCACACCTACATGCCAATCCAACTCAACCCAGCCGGAGGCTGGATACAGGGTGGGGTGGGGCCACGATCTCTCACCTAGGCACACGGTCCCAGAGGGCCCCAGTCGGCTGCCGGGGGCACACTCACAGACGAAAGAGCCAGCCAGGTTCCAGCACACACCATTCACGCATGGGACTGCGAGACACTCATCAATGTCTGTTGTGGACAGTCCCCATAAGTGGTCCTCAGAGATGGGAGGGGACCACCTTGTGAGCCAGGGCCCCTGCTCCCAAGGGCATGGGGTGTGCAGGTGCATGTCTGTCTATGCATGTGCGTGAGTAGACAAAGCAAACATGCATGCTTAGCATGCACAGGAACCAGTAGTGTGTGCAGGCTCTCCTGGGTACTCGTGTGTCTGCAGACATTCACAGTGGGCCATGTGCACCACACCTGTCTGCCAGCACACACAGGATCTCACACGTATGCCCAGTGTGTGTGAATATGCAATGTGTGGATGTGCAATCGTGTGGAGCGTCTGAGTGTGACTGTACTTGAATATGGTGTGTGCAACTGTGTCTTTGAGTGATTGCACACACAAGTGTGAGGATGAGTAAGTGTGTGGGTGTGGACATGCATGCACATGTATGTGTAACTGAGTGTGTGCATGTGTATTTGAGCACATGTGTGTGCGTTCACACATCTCTGTGTGTGCGTGCATGTTTGAATGTGTGAGAGTTTCCATAACTTTCAGTGCAACTATGTACAAGCATGTGAAGGTATGACTCTTCATGAAAGTGCATGAGTGTCTTTGTATATGTGTGTGTAGGTGTGAGAATGGGAACATGTGTGTTTGAGTGTGTGCCTGTGAGTGTGAATATCTGTAGAAGTGTATGTGAGCGCAGATGTGAATTTAAGTGTGTAAAGCTGCACAAAGGGCCTGAGTTTCTGAGTGGCCGTAACTGTGAGCACACGTGTGTACACATGTAACCATGTGTGTATGTGTGTGTGTGTGTGTGTGTGTGCACCCAGGGGAGTGTCTATCTGTGTATGACTGTTTGGGTGGTCTGGGTGAGGGTGAGTCTGTATAACTGTGAGTGTGCACGGCCTGCCCTATACCTTCACATGTCTCTGTGTCCTGCTGGAAGCTGAACCCTTGGGGACAGGAGCAGTTGTAGCTGCCGGGGCTGTTCTGACACCATCCATTGTTACACAGAAGGCTGTTGAGAGCACACTCATCTATGTCTGCAGGTGAGGGTGGAGGACAGGTGAGGTCTTCAGCAGGAATGGCCCCATTCCTCCCGCCCATCAGTCCGTCCATCCATCACACTCACCCAGACAGCTCTTGCCTGTGGCGCCTGCCTTGTAACCCAGGTTGCAGATACAGTGGTAGCTGCCCCTCAGATTCTCACACACGCCATTGGAACAGATGTCGGGGTCCAGGGCACACTCGTTGATGTCTGCAGCAGCAGGTGGTGGGGTCAGCAACTGCCCCGGCTCCTCAGGGGGCAGCCTGAGGCCAGGGGTCCCCCAGGCTAGAGTTTCAGTTCAGCCCTGGCACCCTTTCCCTTGAAACCAAGCCTTCCCACACTCAGCTCTCCCGGCACCTGAAGCCGGGTCATTCCTTTTTGCAGGGGGCCATCCTGACCATGGGATCCCAGGGCAGTGCAAACAGTAAACACACATGGCTGCTAACCAAAAGGTGGGAGGTTTAAATCCACCCAGAGACACCTCAGAAGAAAGGTCTGGCAATCTACTTTGGGAAAACTAGCCACTGATAACCCCAAGTGCTACTCTGACTCACAGGGGAGATCTCTGTGAGTCTAAGTTGAATCCACAACTTAGAACTTGGGTTCTGGGCACGGTGGAGTGTTGGGCAGCATCCCTGGCCTCAACTTATTTGGTGCCAGCAGCACCTGTCCCCAATCATGACAATCAAAAATATCACTAGAACAAAACTAAACAAACATCACTAGACATAGCCAAGTGTCCCCTGAGGGAGAAAACTGAGATCCAGTGGGATGGATATTTATTCAGCAGAAACGTAATTTCCAAAAAAAAAACAAAAAACCCAACAACTATTGGTAGCACTAACTGCTGTTTTGTGCTGTCGAGTCGGTTCCTACTCACAGCGACCCTGTATAGGGTTTCCAAGGCTGTAAATCTTTACAGGAGCAGAAAGCCTCATCTTTCTTCAGTGAAGCGGCTGGTGGATTTGAACAATGGACCTTGCAGTGAACAGCCCAATATGCCACCAGAGCTCCTTAATTGTGACCACTTATGGGGTGCTTGCTATTTTAGACCAAGCAGTGTCCTAAGTACATTAAGTATGTAATCCTCCCAACACCCCGGAAGTGAGTCCTATGAAATAGCCCCACTTTACAATCCAGGAAACTGAGACACTGAGAAGATAACTAACTCGCCCCCAAATTTTCACTGCCATTGAATTGATTCCTACTCATAGCGACCCTTCCTGGTGACAGGGCAGCGAAGAGTTTCCAAGGTTGTCAGTCTTGACGGGAGCAAAGTTTCATCTTTCTCCCACAGAAAGGCTAAGGGGTTTGAACTTCCCACCTTGTAGTTAGCAGTCCAGTCCAGTGTGGCACCTATGGTACCACAATAAAGTTATTTGATAAGTATATGGCAGGGTTGGGATTCAAACTTGCATAGCCTGGTCAGAGTCTGTGCCTTTAAGGAGGGGTAGAGAGAGCTGAAATCCATCAGTGGGTAAATTTAGTGGCAGCTCAAGTGTTTATATCTCCCCTTGGCAGAAAGGCGGAGCCAGTCAGGGAAGGGCTGTGCTCATGCACATGTACATGTGTGCATGTGTGCACGCAGACACATGCTCCACACAGGTCTGTGTGTATGTGCATGTTACATGCATGTGTGGCACCTGTATGGGTGTGTGATCAGCAAACAAGTGACAAGAAACACAGACATGCCATTTTCTTTCCAACATCGACTGTGCAGATAAGGCACTTTGGGCTGAAGCCGGCTGTCAGTTGAGTGCGTGCGACCGGCCACATGGCTCAGGAATAAAGGGACCACAGAGGGAGAGGACTGGTCACCTCTCTCCCCACCCTGGGGCTGACAGGCTGGGAACACTCACCTCGGCCGTCTGTGCTAATGCCCAGGCCACTGCTGCACAAAGCCTGGAACTCAGCTGCAGTGGCGGAGGGGGAACAGGGTGAGAGGGGTCAGGACATGACCCTGGGTCCAAGACATTCTCCACCCAAACCACCACACTGTAGGCACCCTGCAATCTCTTCTAGAGGAGAGAAGCTCCCACCCCATGGGAGCTGAGACCCCCGTCACCGTCTGCCCCAAGGGGAATGACTTGGAAGTTGGTCTAGGGTTGGGAGCTGGGGGCTCACCAGAGTTCTTGACAGGACAGGGCTGGCAGGGCTCCCCAAACCCATGGTCCAGGCTGGCACAGCAGCACTCAGACTTGGTGACGGCGCCAGGGAAGGGGCGGGCACAGGAGTCCTTTCCGACAGTCCCATAGCATGTGCTATGCATGTGGGTGTCCACACAGATGCGCCCGTCGGCGTCCACCGCCAGCCCACCAGGACACCGGCAGTAGAAGGAGCCTTCAGTGTTGGTGCACTGGCCATTCTTACAGATCCCGGGCGTCTGGCACTCGTCGATGTCTGCGGGTGGTGGTACTGAGAGATGGCTCCCCAACCCTTCGGTCTCCTCTCTCCTTCTGTACCTTCTCTTTTTCCTGGTCTTACTCCTCCTCTTGTCTTTTTCCCCAGCCCTCTCCTCATCCTTCTCTTTACTCCATGTGCTGTCTCAGATGGTGCCCCCCCAAGAAAAACCCCCCAAAACTCATGCCCCACCTGAAACCTGAGAAGGCAACTTTCTTTGGAAACATGGTCTTTGCAGATTGCTCTGTATTGAACTGGAGTCCCTGGGTGAAGCAAATAGTGAGCTACAGCCAGAAAGGTTACGGGTTCGAGTCTACCTAGAAGTGCCTTGAAGAAAGGCCTGGCAATCTACTTTAGAAAAAAGATCAGCCCTTGAAAACCGTGGGGCACAGTTCTACTCTGACACACATGGGATCACCACGAATTAGAATCTTCTTAATAGCAACCATAAAGAAAAAACCTGAGTTGAATTCAGTACCCTCAAAATATGTGTTGGAATCCCCACTCATATACCTGTGGGTGTGATCCTGTTTGGAAGTCATTTTATTTGTTACATTCAAGAAACCTATGTCAGGGTGCGTCCTAAATCTCATTGCTTCTGAGTTATGAAAAGAGCAGATTAGACACAGAGATGCACACAGAAGACAGATGCCATGTGAATATCATTGTTAAGGACTGAATGTGTCCCCCCCAAAATATGTGTTGTAAAAACCCTAACCTCCATGTCTGTGATTATAATCCCATTTGAGATGAGGCTGTCTTTGTTATGTTCATGACGAGTGTAGGATGTGTCCTGAATCAATCTCTATTTGAGAGATTAAAGAGATTAAACAAGCAAGAGACAGAAACAGAGCTGGGGAAAGAGAGACTCAGGAGTAGAAGCTCAGACAAGAGATGAACCTTCCTCCAGAGCCAACAGAGAGAGAGTCTTCCCCTTGTCAGCATTCTGAATTTAGACTTCTAGGCCTCACCTTGAAGACTAAAGTGCAACTGACCCAAGCCATAGTATTTTCAATAACCTCATATGCATGTGAAAGCTGGACAGTGAATAAGGAAGACCTTAGAAGAATTGATGCCTTTGAGTTATGGTGTTGGAGGAGAATATTGAAAGTGCCATGGGCTGCCAAAAGAACCAACAGATAGATCTGTGTTGGAAGAAGTGCAGCCAGAGTGCTCCTTGGAGGTCAGGGTGGTCAAACTCCATCTCTCATACTTTACACATATTGTCAGGAGGAACCAGTCGCTGGAGAAGGATATCATGTTTGGTAAGGTGGAGGGTCAGAGAAAAAGAGGAAGACCCCCAACAAGATGGATTGGCAAAATGGCAGCATCAATGGGCTCAATTGTGGCAACAGTAGTGAGGTTGGCCCAGGATTGGGCAGTGTTTCGTTCTGCTGTGCACAGGGTCGCTATGGGTCGGTACCAACTCGATGGTACCTAACAACAACAATAACATCTTCCCCGCGGGAGAAAGATGAGGTGTTCTGCTCCCATAAAGATTAACAGCCTCGGAAACCCTGTGGAGGGTCGCTATGAGTCGGAACCGACTCCACAGCACACAACAACAACAACAACAACAAACTGTGAGAGAATATATTTCTGTTTATCAAAGCCACCCACTTGTGATATTTCTGATAGAGCAATGTCAGGGAACTAAGACAACCCTTTACAAACCAACAAACCAATGAACACCTGGAAGGAACCAAGGCAAGGAAGTTCAAGTTAAATTGGGGTCATACTAGAATAGTGAGGACCCTGATCCAGTGACAAGTATCCTGAAACCAAAAAAGCCAACCCCCTGCTGTCGAATCGACTCCGACTCACAGAGACCCTATAGGATAGGAAAATCTGAACACAGATTTGTAGAGATGGAGGCAGAGATGGAGTCATTCAGCCACAGCCCACGAACGAAGGCTCCTCACCCCACCCCAAGAGCACACAGAGCACAGGGTATGGGATTTCAAATGCTTAACCTCCAGAACTGGAAGAGAGCACATTTCTGGTGTTTTAAACCTCCCCGTTTGTGGCCCTTGGTCTTGGCTAACTCAGAAAATGAATTCTTCGCGTCTCTTCCTCTCCTCCTTTTCCCTTTCTTTCTCTCCCCTGCCACAGCATCCTTTCTTCTTTCATTGTTTGTTTCTTCACCTCTTCCCTGCTCATCTTACTCCTCCTGTCTTCTCCCCATCTTTCATCCCCTCCCCCTCCTTCTCTCTAGGACCCACTCCCATCTCACCCAGCCAGTAGAGGCCACCTGGCACCAGCAGGAAGCCGGGTATGCACAGACACTTGAAACTGCCATCTTCATTGAGGCACGCCCTATTGAAGCATATGCTGGTGGTGGCACATTTGTCATGGTCTGGGGACACCGGGAAGGGCTGGGGCCAGTGGGTGAGGCTGGGCACCAGGCCTAGTGGCCACCCCAGACAGCCCTGCTCTGTTGACCTGCCTCTGTCTTTCTCATCTTTCTGGGGATCCCCTCTCTGGAGTGTGGGAGTTAGACAAGATGTGGTTGTCTATAATTTCTGTGGACAAATCCATCTGCTGGAACGTGAGCTCCGTTAGGGAAAAACCATGTTCACGCCTGCATCTTTGGTTTTGGCACGAGATATGAACTCAATAAATATTTGTTAAAAGACTAAATGAATAAATGATGATGAGCAAATGCAATATGAAGAGTTCTTTCCTGTGGAAGGAGGAGTTGTCTCCTGTTTTGCTCACATCTGCAACGTCGGCCTTGGTACGTCTAAACGCTCAAGAAATATTGGCTAAAAGGTAGGAGTGAATGACTGAGAGAGTCTTTAAGGCAGGTCTCCTCGGATGACAGAAAAAATGAGTAGTGCAAACACTTAAAATGCTTGACTGCTAAGGTTGAGATTCTAGTGTACCCAGAAGACCTCAAGGAAAGGCCATTCCAAAAAGTCAGCTACTAAAACCCTTTGGATCAGAATTCTACTTTGACAACACATGGGGCACCATGACTTCCTGGAAGCTGGTTTTTTTTTCCCTCTCACTGGTTCCCACAAGAGTTTCGCCTGTGTGCCTGATCCACCCTGCTCTAGGGGTGCCTGCGGGCAGGCACTCTCCAAGGTCCTGATCCTACACTATTCCACAACCAACCCCTTCCAGGGCAGCGCTCCCAGGACAAGCGAGGGTCCAAGGTCAGGAAGCTTCTGGGGCCACCTAACAGCACAGTCTCACCCGAATGAACTCACGGAATGAACTCACGGAATGAGCTCACAGAATGAACTCATGAAGGAAGGAGTGAGGGAGAGGACAGGAGGGGCGCTTCAGGCTCCAGAGGTGAGCAGAGGACATGTAGCAGAACGTGTATAATGGGAGAAGGGATGCAAATCTGGGAAGAGGTGGGTAATGGAGCATGGGCGAAAATCTGAGGTGGTCATCAAAGCCAGCCAAGAGGGACTCAACACCTGGCCGCCCCAACTCACCCACACAGTTTCTGCCATCTGGCATGAGCTCAAAGCCCTCATTGCAGACACACTGGAAGCTGCCCTGGGTATTGACACAGCGGCCATGGTGGCAGAGGTCCCCGCCGACAATGCACTCATTCACGTCTGGTAAGGGAGGTGGGCAGCCAGGGGACAGCCCCCCAGACTTTTCAAGGATGGCCGTGGATGCCAGCCATTGCCCTTGCCCCATGCATGGCCACACCTGACCAGGATCCCCGCCACTCTGCCCCCTGCACAAACCGTACCCACGCATGCCTGCTTGGTGACGGTGGCCTGGAAGCCCCCATGGCAGTGGCAGTGGTAGGAGCCAGGGGTGTTGGCACAGTCACCGTGGTGGCATGGGCTGCTGGCACATTCATCCATGTCTGTGTGCACAGGACACTAAGGCCGGACCAGGAGATACAATCCCCCAGACTGCCCCCATGGGGGCACCCTCCACATCGCACTGATGCACCCTTGCCCCTCCACCAATTCACCCCTCACTGGTGCACCCCTCACCGATACACTCCCCACGCACGTCCTGCGTGAAGCCCGTGTTACAGTCACACTGGTAACTGGATGGGGTGGGCCGGCAGCGGCCGTTGAGACACAGATTGGTGAAGTGGCGGCAGATATCAATGGTCTGGTTCAGCGTGGCGGTGCCTAGGGGCAGGGCCGGCAGAGGCTGGAGCTTGCCCCAATTCAGACCCCACCCCAAGTCCTGGGTCCAGACCCCCTCCCCAGGCTTAGATCTCCCATCTGTAACTATGGGAAGCCCAGACCCCTCAATCTAAACCCATTGTCAGTACTTCCATACCTACTGTACAGGCCAGGACCCATACCCCAAAGCCACAACCTTCCTTCTAAGGCCTGCTTCACATCCGCCCCAGGACCAGCATTACTCCTCGTCTTAGACCCCCTCCTCCCAAGCCCCAGGCCTTACCAATGTGGGAGTCGCTGGGGCGCAGGCTGGGGACCCCATGCCCACTTGGGCCATGCTGGCTGTGCTGTGCTGGCCTCCCAAGGCCAGGACCCCTTCCGGGAAACAGGTCAGGGTAGGAGGGCAGCAGGGGGAGCCCTTGGGTGCACAGTTGCTGGAATTCATCTGTGAGGGAAGCAGCAGGGTTGGCGGCCAGAGTTCTGGGCTGGGAGGGCGAGAAGGCGGCCCCCAGCCACTCACTGGAGCCCTGTGGAGGACACAGCTCCAGTGTGGGGCCAGCCACCCAGAGCTCTGGGCAGGGAGGGCAAGGAGGCAGCCCCCAGCCACTCACCGGAGCCCCGCGGAGGACACAGCTCTGGTGTGGGGCCAGCCGCCCAGCACCTGCCCGTATCACAGCAGCATTGCCTGTGCGTATGACGTCCGGTGAGTTCCCTAGCACAGCGGCCCCCGATCAGCACCGAGAAGCAGATGCCAGCCCGATGGTCTGAAAGAAAGTGGTAGGCAGGGTTGGTGAGCAGAGGGAGGAGGCAACTGCAGCCACCAAATCCGGACTCAAATCTCCCAACACTGGCTGGGAGATAGTCCCCAACTAGGCCTGAGTTTCCCCACCCATGGAATAAGATGCTCAGAGCCCCCACCTCACCTCAGAAGGATGAAAAGGGCAGTGCCAGGGGCCTGGCATATAGCCAGTGCTTGTGGAGTGCCAGTGTTATTAACAAGATTTCTTAATTATCACAAGAGGCAAACTTGGGCTCATTCCAAGCAAGAGGATTCCAATACCCAAAGCTGGCTCTGGTAATGAGCTTCCCATCACTGTAGGTATTCAACCACAGTTAGCGCACATCTTAGGGGGGATGATGCCCCAGTGGGAGGTCAGGCTAGATGCTGAACAGGGATGCTGAGATCTGGGGCTGCATGACCTAACCTGCAGAATCTGGCATTCCAGGGAAGTCCAGTGGATCCCTGGGGAAACTGAGGCAGAGGCTTCCTGGGTGTGAGAACCACAGACACTCTATCACTTCCCCTCATGCCTTATGTCCAACAGCTTTACTGGGGGATCACATTTCTCAGACTCTAACTCAAAGAGCATATTTTTAGGTTTAAAAACCCACAAATCTTGGCCAACTTCCCAGAGTTGAGAAATCCCACTTACTACCCAGGAGAGCATCCCCTGACCTGCCCCAGGCTGGGAAAACATACAAATGTGCTGCCTCCCCTGCCTCCTGCACCTGGTGACCCCCCAGGAACCTGTGTGGGAGGCAAGACTTTAGACTTCAGAATCATGGCAGGCTCAGACTAGAGCCAGGGGCTTGTTGTTGTTGTTAGGTACCATCGAGTCGGTACC